CACACACACACACACACACACACACACACACACACACACACACACACACACACACACACACACACACACAATTATCTATCTGGTTTTTGATGGCAGGAGATAAATCGACTATTAGTGGATGAACCAAATATGTTTCCCTGTTGCTATATTGCAATTTGTACTTGTATCAAAGGTTTATTTTTTCAACATGTTTTTATTCGCTGTCAATTGGAACTAATATCCTGAGCAAAAAAATTTGTTTTTCCAGTTACAAATTCCAACATTGATCGGCAATATTAAATAACACAACTTGGAAAGCAACATTTTAAATATATACCAGGTTTATTCAATGGACAGGTACAATAAGATTTTTAAAACAGCTCAATACAAGTATCATATATTTGCAACAAAAATGTTCATTTGAAACACCCGTTGCTAAAAAGACTTTAAAAACACAAGTCCTTTTTATCTTCGGCAGACCTATTTATGAAGATATTTGTATTTTTGCAGGTTAAGCTAACCATGACTTGGTTATTTTCTCACACATTCACAATACACCTTGTCTTAAACAAGAACAAGTGAAGAAACAGCAGTGAATAAGCAAAGGGAACCAGTTCTCTGGTTTATGACTGAGAACTAACTGGGAGTCTGAATTAACTCTCAGCCTCTCCTTTTGAATTTTCTGGAAGAGCAGTGAAAAAAGGGGGCAGGAAAAACCAGTTGGGAAATTCCTTTAAAACAAACACACACACAAACAGACACACACACCTTCAAGCACAGGAGAAAAAAACCATTCTTAATTATTATGACTTGGAATAAAACATCTTAATGCCCGTTCCCTCCATTTAGATATGTAAGCAGTATTAAACTGAAGAAAGCAGATCCATGAACCAATATACTTTAAGTACGTCTTTGTTACAGGAAGTCCAGTCATTAATGAAGTCTCGACTGGCATCTGAGAATCACATGCATCAGAGAACTAGAATAGCCTGCCCGGCACGCTCAGAGTGAATCAGGAGGCAGTGATTACAAATGGCACCTGTTCTCTTCTGGTCATTACAAAAAAATTTATGAAGTATTAGCTTCATAAGAGGGGAGCGCAAATGAGGAGCATCCAACGGAGTGGTACATGAAATAAAATATGAATGCTGCCCAGATTTCTAATACAGTTGAGAATTATCTGCACAATCAAACACATTCACTCTCACCAAAGATAAAGGAGGACAAAGGACAAGTCTGCTGGACTCTTCGAACTACAGTTTGTTGAAGTGAAACACAGATAGTGGTTTCTGACGCTTTGATAAGAAGGCCAGGTGAGCAGCACGGACTGGCACCGGAACAACACCCCTTTGTTGATCAAAAGTGGCAGGTCCGACAGGTGGCCGACAAGGATGCACCGGATTTATACAGCTCTGGAAATAGTCGATTGGATGATCGTGATTTAACTTTCAGCTGATTAATCACATAGCTATGTTCCAACTTATAGCAACTGAATGCCTATTTACTCACACATACTCATCTGCCTCACACACCAAGCACATGGCGAGGCTCTCTGCAATCAGAAACAAATAGTTGTAACTAATCATGCATGTAATTAAAGATGGTGAGCTCTAGAATAAAGCTAATTCCTCAGGGTTAACAAAGCCAAACATGTTGATGTGCAGAACCACTGAAGCAAAGAGCGGCAGGCTTCGACACTGGGGTTTAGTGCAGCCTAATGAGAAACGCCGAGTTGTTTGTAATTAGGAGGGGGACCTGTTGATCCCACACTGATTAGACATAATCAGAATTAAAGACAAGAAGTCTATAAAGGGACCCCCCCCCCCACACACACACACTTCAGCTGCTTTCCACATACACACTCTTAAAAGTGAGTTTTCTCCTTTTACATTTGTAGCCTTGAGTCCGTCTGCAGAGGGGATCTGCTTGTGTAATAGCCTCTGATCCGAGTAAAGCTGGTTAGAGTCATAATATGGCAACCAGCTTACTCAAGATCCAAAACAACCCTGGGAAAGCCAATCTAAACACCCAGACCAAAACACACCTCACATAAACAGGCCTTTAGATCGACAACAGTTATCATCCACCACTGACGGGCAAAAGTGGGCAATATTGGTTTGTTGTTTTTTTTGTGTCTGTTTTATAGCTGCATGATATATTGTTTGAGCTTCTTCACATATTGCAGGTCCAGCGATGTGGGAGGCAAATTAAATGAACAATAAATCAATGTACTGAACAATCACGTGTTACGGCTTTTATTTTGACGAGCCGCTTCCACCGGTGGAAGCGGCTGCATGAGCTTTGTGTTAAAGGGACAATATTACGTGTTTCTCAGGCATATATTTAAATTCTATACCATAATAAAGTATCTATGTCACCTTCAGTTGTTACTAAAATGCTGTTTTTATG